GAAAAAACTGACTGTGGATCTCTGATGAACACTTGCCGATCGACCACCATCGTGTTTCCCGCCAGCAGACACGACAGCACCAGGGTGTAAGTGCCCCGTGGGATCAAAAAGATTTTACGAAGGGCACAAAACCAAGTAGCAAAAGCAGCGTGCATGTTCCGAACGACAGCAGAACATCTCGTCCACCAACACTCACAGAGTCAGGACTCTTCACGCTCAGGCGAATCAGCATCCTATTCTCTGTGCCTGACAGGCACCCGTATGGCCCCTTGCATGAAGCTAAATGGCTGCGGCATGTCGGGTAAGAGACCACACGCAGCCGGCTGAGAACTTCTCGCACAATAGCCTACCGTGCGCAATGAAACCTGAAGAGGGTTTCCAATCCTGCTGTTCTGCTCTCCTGAAGTCTTTCTGACATTTTTCAAATCAAAACCGTTTCCATGCCACCTTGATGTCCAAGTGATTTAGCTCAAAAAGTTTGCGAAGCTGAAGTTTTCATGCTTACAGCGCAATGGGGTCTTTTCCAAGACGTCTTTTTCCAGACCGCGGGATCTTCTTTTTTGTTTGACCGTGGTCTAGAAAAAGACCCTAATGCCTGAAAAATGACAAGTTAGGACAAATCAAGGATGGTTGAACAAGACAAACGAAGCAAAGCAGAAGTCATCACTGAAGCTTGTGACGTCTTCGCCAACAAATAATCAGCAAACCTGCCTCAAGCACCTGTTAACTTCTTCAAACTCAACCAAAAGGCCGGGCTGCGCACGTGCAATGTGGCATGCTTCCGCCAGGACAACATCTCAACCAATCGCGAATGTTGCTTTCCTTTCTTCGGGTCCGAAACCCATTGCATCGCAAAAAAAACAAAAACTGTAACAGAACATTCCAACATTTGCAAAATTGACATAGAAGAATTCCAGCTAGGTCCAGTTTGTGACAAAAAAGCACAATTCGGCTGCAGTACTCCAAGCTGCAAGAGGTGGAAGGCAAAGGCAGGCCACCGGCAGAACTCATAACAGGCATCTCTGACTGCAGCGTAGATCTGTTGCAATGCTGCCTTCTGTTTTCACGAGCTGGATTTCTGCAGATTCAACCCAGCTTCAAAATGCTCCTGAGCAAACAAGTCTGCCTGAAGTGAAAGAAGGACTCCAGACCAAAAGTCATGGATGCCATGAAGAAAGCGAAGCCAGAACGCAGAACTCGTCTTGCACTCCCTTCATGAGCCTTCGTTGACCGTGGATGCAATTGTACGAGCTTGCTCACTTCGCAATACGAAACGGTCGAGCCGGATAGCGAATTGCTCACCGACGTGGTCCACAATGCAGCTAAATCCAGGTCAAATCCAGGTTCTGAAGAAATACTCTTCTCTCTTTTGAAAGCCAGCGTGAAACCGATTTCGTGGTTTCTTCTTTTCTTTGTTTGTAATTGCGCTGGTTTCATTACTTCTTCTTTTTCTTTGATTTCTTTTGTTCGTGATTCTTTGCGTGATTGTATTTTGTTTCATCTTTTTCTGAATTTTTCCCCAACAGCGTAAGCTCTGGGGTCTTTAGCCGAAATAAGGTTTGGGGCAGATTGATTGGGGCGAGGCCTGGGGCAAGTTCCGGGGCAGGTTCCGGCAGGTTCCCGGCAGGTTCCGGCGAGGTTCCGAAGCAGGTTCCGGTGATGTTAGGTTCCGGGAGGTTCCGGGCAGGTTCCGGCGAGGTTCCGAAGCAGGTTCCGGTGATGTTGCGGGGCAAGTTCCGGGGCAGGTTCCGGCAGGTTCCGGGAGGTTCTGGGCAGGTTCCGGCGAGGTTCCGAAGCAAGTTCCGGTGATGTTGCGGGGGAAGGTCCTGGCAGGTTCCGGCAGGTTCCGGAGCGGTTCCGGGGCAGGTTCCGGCAGGTTCCGGCAGGTTTTGGTGGGGTTCCGAAGCAGGTTCCGGTGATGTTGCGGGGGAAGTTCGGGGCAGGTTGCGGCAGGTTTCGGTGAGGTTCCGAAGCAGGTTCCGGTGATGTTGCGGGGCAAGTTCCGGGGGCGGGTCCCGCAGGTTCCGGCAATTTCGGGAAGGTTCCGGGCAGGTTCCGGCGAGGTTCCAAGCAAGTTCCGGCAGGTTCCGGGGAGGTTCCGAAGCAAGTTCCGGTGATGTTGTGGGGGAAGGTCGGGGCAGGTTCCGGCAGGTTCCGGAGCGGTTCCGGAGCAGGTTCCGGTGAGGTTCCGAAGCAGGTTCCGGTGATGTTGCGGGGCAAGTTCCGGTAGAGCTTCCGGCAGGTTCCGGAGCGGTACCGAGAATCCTGCTGCACATGCTTTACTTTCGTCTCCAACAGCCCCAATACATTGTCCGAGATTTTAAAACCGCATCTTACAGCTTTCTCAGCCTTGCAAGTGCCCCTCCTGCTCCCACTCCCGGGCTGTAATTCAGCTCCGAAGCTTGCGACCGAGCCCAAATGAATTTCACCAGGCCTGCTAAACGCACTTGGTCTGCGTTGCAGCAATGTTCAACCTCCATGCCGTCGCTAAACCCGAAAATAATGCTGCACACGCTTTACTTTGGTATCCAACGGCCCCAAACGCATTGTCCAAGCCTTGAAAACCGCACTTTACAGCTTTCTTAGTCTTGGCCTTGCTAATGCCCTTCCTGGTCCCAGTCCCGCTTCAAAGCGAGCCCAAATGCATTTCTCGATGCCCGGTAAACGCATTCGGCCTGCGTTGCAGCAGATGTGGACTTAAATGCCGTCCGTGAACTTGAAAATCCTATTGATCACGCTTTACTTTGGTTTCCAACAGCTCCTCCTGCTCCCAGTCGCGGGCTGTAATTCAGCTCCGAAGCTTCAGAGCGAGCCCAAATGCATTTCCCGAGGCTTGCTAAACGCATTTGGCCTGCGTTGCAGCAGTGCTCAACCTCCATGCCGTCGCTAAACCCGACAATAATGCTGCACACGCTTTACTTTGGTATCCAACGGCCCTCTTAGCCTTGCTAATCCCCCTCCTGGTCCCAGCCCCGGGCTGTAATTCAGCTCTGAAGCTTCAAACCGAGCCCAAATGCATTTCCCGAAGCCTGGTAACACATTTGGCCTGCGTTGCAGCAGTGCTCAACCTCCATGCCGCCGCTAAACCCGAAAATCCTGCTGCACACGCTTTGCTTGTCTCCAACGGCCCCAAAAGCATTGTCCAAGCCTTGACAAGCGCATTTTGCAGCTTTCTCAGCCTTGCTAATGCCCCTCCGGCCCCTCCTGCTCCCAGTCCCGGGCTGTAATTAAGCTCTGAAGCTTCAAACCGAGCCCAAATGAATTTCACCAGGCCTGCTAAACGCACTTGGTCTGCGTTGCAGCAATGTTCAACCTCCATGCCGTCGCTAAACCCGAAAATAATGCTGCACACGCTTTACTTTGGTCTCCAACAGCCCCAAATGCATTGCCCAAACCTTGAAAACAGCATTTTACAGCTTTCTCACTTTCTCAGCCGTCCTCGTCCCGGGCTGTAATTCAGCTCCGAAGCTTCAGACCGAGCCCAAATGTATTTCCCGAGGCTTGCTAAACGCATCTGGTCTGCGCTGCAGCAGTGCTCAACCTCCATGCTGCACACACACTTTACTTTGGTATCCAACGGCCCCAAATGCATTGTCCAAGCCTGGAAAACTGCATTTTCCAGCTTTCTTCGTCTTAGCCTTGCTAATGCCCTTCCTGGCCCAGTTCCGCTTCAAAGCGAGCCCAGATACATTTACCGAGGTCTGGTAAACGCATTTGGCCTGTGTTGCAGCAGTGCTCAACCTCAATGCCTCTGCTTCGGTTTCTAACTAAAAGCATTGTCCAAGCCTTGAGAAGCGCATTTTGCAGCTTTCAGTCTTGCTAATGTCCTTCCTGCTCCCAGTCCCGGGCTGTAATTCAGCTCTGAAGCTTCAAACCGAGTCCAAATGCATGTCTCGAAGCTTGCTAAACGCATTGGCCTGCGTTGCAGCAGAGCTCAACCTCCATGCTGTCTCTAAACCCGAAAATCCTGCTGCAAACGCCCTGGCAGCATCGTGGTTATTAACCACAGTGCATACACCTTGCCCCACCAGATCGGGGCGTCAGTAAGGGCCGTCTCGGCCTGTATGGGGACAAAGAGCGCGGAGTGCTTTTCCTCATGCCTCCCAATCCAACGCCCTCGGTTAATGATATGCGGCAGTGTGTGTTGAGCATGCCGGTACGTTGTTACCTCTGCCGTGTCCGTGTACAGCCACAAGGAATCACACATAAGTATCCCGGGCTCCATGATCAGCGGCAAGATAGCTCTTGCTAGTTTCCCGAGGGCCAGCGGGAGGGCAGGATGACCACCGCATAGGTCCGGGCCTTTCCGAAACAATGTGAGGTCCGCCCCAAAGCTGAGTGGGCGGAACCCAAACTCACTGACATACTCGTGTTCCGGGCACACCGCACCAAGGCGTTTCACCCTGCGTGGACCTTTTTGGCGCTCAAGCAGGCGCTCAACCACTGCCACCCAGTGCTGTCCTGTCTCCACCGAACCTGCTGTGACAATGATGTTGACCTCAAGCTGGCGTGCCACAAACACGTGTCCCCGAAGAAACGGCCCAGGGATGTGAACTTCATTGCAAATTGCATTGTGCTGCGGCTCACCGTCGACGAGTTGCTGCCAGCCTGCGGTAGCATGCGGTGGGTGCGGAAGGCTAGCCTCGCAGAGAGCTTGGATAACGAACCGAGCTCTCGGCCGCAAGTCGCCTGTGAACAACCGCTTGCGTGAGAGTCATAACGCTTGGCTTCGGCCATCGGCCTCCCGCGAGCCCGGTGTGAAATAGGCGCGCAGCCTCACCGGTCCCCAGCGACGTGATCAAGGGAGCGGCGGCAGCCATGGCGGAGGGCCTGGTGAGGCAACCGGGCTACAGACGAATGTCCGAGCCCGGGCCTGTCTCTGCAGCTGTTTGAGCCCAGGCAGGTGCAAATTTAGAAGATGAAACGCACTTGACCCACAACCGGCTGGCACAGCAAGGGGCAGAGTTTTTGGTCACCGCCGTACAAGCCTCCCGCCGCGCTCAGTCGCTCAGGAAGCAGGTGAGGTATCCCTGGCGCTGGCCATAGTCAATATCCGTATTGTCGCGGATGTAGCTGCGCACGTCAGAGACCTGCTTGAACCAGATGCGGCACGTCATGTGCTCGTGGCGCTGCCATCCACAGAAGGACTCGACCACCACAAGATTGCAGCCGGCCGCCGAGGCAAGCAGGAGTGTGACTTCGAGAGCTGCTTCGGAGAGTGCAAAGGTGCCATCTTGCCGGATATCATAGTGAAACCGATCTCCGCCACGCACATTAATGCCGGCGTCCAGGCGCTGCCAATGGGGCGTAGCCATGGCTCAATTTTGCCCCTACACTCAAGAGCGTAAGGCGTAAGATCGAGGCGTTTGCCGCCCCTCAGGAAGCTCAGTCGAATGCCTGGCTTCACTTCGGCGCCGAGAGTTACAGCCTCGACTCGGCAGTCACACCCTAGGAAGCTCAAGCGAATGCCTGGCGTCCTCGAGCACAGAAGGCTGCAAGGACATCCGGTGCACTTGCGCGCGTACCAGCAAAAGCAATCATGCAACGGCGCTTTCAGACACCTCACCACATGGCTCTCGGGGCTGATCTGGCACTCTAAGCAGGGTATCCGCTCACTCAGTTATGGTAGAAGGCCTGATAGCCGTGATGTCCCTGGACGTCGCGGTAGGAAGGGATACCACTCGCAGCTTCACGAGGATCTCCCGGCACCGACTTAAGCCAGGCCATGCGACGACTAGCCTCAATGACCACACAATTGCAATTGTAGAGGGCAGCGATCATCTGTGCGAACTGGACAAATGGAGCATCGACTTCCCCCGACGAACTGACTTGCAGGATGTCATGGTGTGGAATATTCAGACCAGCTCTGAGCGCCTCCCATTTGCGAACGTGCCCCTGTAGCTGAAGGACCACGCCAGTGACAGCCGTTTGGACGGGGAATGCGGCCGGCGCTTCGGCCAAGGGTTCCATGCGCGGCTTGGAGGTGGCGGGGATTGAACAGCCTGGGGTACAGCAGAATTGCCGACCCGATAGCAAGGCCCGAGGCACAGTCAGCTATGAGCAGGAAACAAATGGCGACATCGCCAGCACACATGCAAGTACCTTGGCGGGCAAAACTGCATAGAACCCCCATGTGCAAGCATGCGGATGGCTAGTGACTTTTCAGCGCGCAATGAGCTCCGGCGTCACAGCCATTCAGCCGGTCGATGCGCAATCGAATTGCATAAAAAGAGCCGGACCGTGTCCCACATGCGGTTGTACACAGCTAGCCCAAAAGGCGTTTCATCACCCTCGTCGTCTCCCTGCTCAAAGCCCGGATCAGCCCGGGCGCAAAGCAGTAGTCTGGTAACAGCAAGCGGGGCTGTATAGCCCACCGCATCAAGGAGTGCAAAGTGCAACGTGCGCCGATCCGGCGGGGAGCCCGCCACCAGCAACTCGTAGACAGTGGCCACGCTCCCTGACTTGACCGCCGTAAGAAGTGCATTGTGCACAGGTTCCTGGGGGGCAAGTTCATCGAGCTCGTGAAAGGGCCACTGGCGGAAGTAGTTGCACAGGATGGCCACTTGGAGAGTATCACCCCGCAAGGCAGCCAGCTCTAGCGCCGTACGAAGGCGGTCACCACCAGGCATTGCGCGACCCCGCATAATCTCAAGGACCCGGATGAGTACCACCACAGGTTGGTCAAGTGCCCACACCACAGGGCACAACTGAGAGCCCCACACCCAGCATCTAGCGAAGCCATCGGCCAGCTCGACCGCGCGGGTGAGTGACAGGGGATCGTCTTGAAGCAGCGAATCGCGAATGAAGGTTTGTCGCTCGATAGCTGTGCCCCCATCCATGGGGTTAACGAGAATGAGTTGGTAGCAACCGCGCACAATGATGCCACTGGGGTCATTGGTAAAGCCATCCCCATTCGGCATGCACTGTATAAGGCGTCCCCACTGAGGCGCATAGCCGACTAGGGCCGCAGCTGCCCACTCCAAGTCCTTGTGCAGGACAGGATCCTCAACGGAAAAGACCAGGCCACCATCGGGGCGGTACACCGTGATAGTTCCTTCGCTCCCCCAGGCGCGCACTCCCTGCTGGGCCGCTCTATGTTTGGGCATCACCGCCGCTTCCTCACCGCAGGCTGGTTGCCAGACGGTGGCTCGGTGTCGGAGGGCCGAAGGATCGGCCCCTGCCGCAACCAGCCAATTAACCCACGTACTGATAATGGCCCGCCATGAGCATGTGGCGAGCAATCACCGTGACTAGCTTCCACGGCCACGGGGCAGCCCCATACCACATCATGTCAACCAGCCAGCGCGGCGACGTCGCAGTGGCGTGTTCCATATCGCTAACGAGCATCTCCCGGAACTGTGCCCGCAGCTCCCTACCCACAAGGTAGGAAACGAAATACGCCGCCGCGCTGGCCGCCGCCGGCGGTGTCTGATCTCCCTGAATCCAAGTGCTGAGTAACGGCCGGAGCAGCTGATTTCGCCCCTGAAGGCCGAAGTAGTGCCGCAAGATCGCCGGGAAGGCAAGCCCGGCATGTGCGATGGTCCAAGCAAGCGCATTGGCATAGGGCTCCCAGCCCACGCATCCATCCAGGCGCCATCCACACTCTCTGGCATAACACACCATCGCCAAGTCGCCCCTCCGCATCTTATCCTGGATCCAGGTAATGCGGGGGGGGCCGACGTCACTACCCGCAACAGCAGGACCATGCGCGTAAAATGGCGCGGGTTGTCCACTTCTAGATCCTGCCCAGCTGCGTCCGTGATCCCCAGCATACCGGCAGGCACACCGACCAGCGGCTCAAGGAAGTAAAGAAAATCCCGGTGACCCATGACCCAAGATACCAGGGCAACGAACGAGCGGCAGCGGCACAGGCCGTGTTTGGGCCAGCCGCGCTGTGCCCATCCGGAGCCAACGGCAGAATAGCGGGCCCGGTGGGTCAGAATGCAGGCACAGGCCAGCGGTCCTGACATCCTCAAGTGCCATCGTAACAGCAGCTGTAGCCTCATCCGGGCCAGGCGCTTCTGGCGCAAACAGGCAGGTTCGCAGTGGCGTGGCCAGGGAGCGCCAGAATTGGCGTCCCTTCTGTTCGAGCCAAGCTGTTTCGAGCACTTGCTTTAACGCACCCATGCAACGCCGACCGGACGAACAGAGGCACTCTCCTGTTATAGACTGCAGCTCACGCGGGCACACAGGATGCTGCACTCAGTGCAAAGTCCCAAGCCGAGAGCCATGCCAAGCGGGGAGACCTGGCCAAAACGCTCGTGAGGTTGAATCGTGGCATCCGCGCTGGCTTCCAGCAGATGCCATAACATCGCTGGGGCAATTGCAGCCTTCCGGACCAAGAGGAACTCCAGTGGGCGCAAATCACCCGCCATAAGCATTCGGCAACGCGCCTTCGCCACCACGAGCGTGTGAACCATACCCTCGAATCTAGCAGGGGTCGGTTCCAGTCGGAGGACTCGGCCAAGTAGACTCTCAGTGGGGTGGTCTCCTTCCACGTACGCACCAGCAGCCAATAGGACATACAGTGAGTCAACCCGTCCGGTTTTCACAGCGAAGCGGGCCCACAGGGAAAGAGCGCCCGGCTGCGGTGGTGTAAGGCCAGCGGCCAGCGCACACAGCAGCCATTGTGTCGTTGTGCCGCCTTGGGCGACCGCGATGAAGGCAGGCGAGCACCTGCGGACGTTCCACCGTTTGCCACGGAAATTCCGACCCAGCTGCCAGCTCTTCCCCCAGAAAAGGATACTTCTCCATCAGGCGTTGAGCATTGACAAACAGACCGCGGCTGAGGAAGGAGCCCAGGTCCAGTCGAGCAGTGTCCTTTTCGCTTGCGTGCGCGCTGCGAATTAGGTGCAAGGAGTGAACCAGTCCGGACGTTGCGTCCCTGCTGGCCACTGCTTCGTACCCATCGCCACAAGTGTGATAAATGTGCTCAAGGGCCTCAACAACCTCCTCCCTGGATGCAATCGGCGAGGCATGGCCCAAACAAGCCCCCGCCAATGTCGTCATGGGCACCAGAGGCATGAGCGCATGCGGCGCCATAAGGCCGAGGCAGCAAGCCACCCTGGCGCATTTGGAGCCAGGCCTGCCTGTGCACACCTCGAGGCAACTTAATTAGGTCTCTATGCGGCTGGCAGCCCAGCGGCTGTGTAGGCGACACGCGACAAGCTAGCAATGTGGCCAGATCTTCACCGCGATCCCGAGCCAGCGTATAGGCCAAAGCTGGCAAACATGCGGCCATCACATGATCCGCCGGACACACCCGCGTAAGGAGCACAATGACATGGAGCGCCTCTGCGCGTGCAGCCAGCAGCATAACATTGTGAGGCCCCTCGCACGCACGCTGCACCGAGGCTCTGGCCTGTAAAAGCATGCCCACTCCGATACTCCCCAACCGGTCCATCAGGATCCGCTCGCAGCAGCAGGAGGCAAGCGCATTGGTCGACGGCCTGTTGCCCCAGGGCCCAACCCAGAGCGGAATGTGCCTCGCCCCAGAGGTCATTGCCCGCGCGAAGCCCCGGCTCGAAAGACCATGCATAGGCAACCAACTTAAAGTTCGAGGCAGCTCCTAGGATGTGCCCAAATTCCGGAGCCACTCCAGACAGTGTGCCTGTAAGACCTCACCAAGGTCAACCAGCGCATCATCTCGTAGGCCAGCCGTGGGCGCAGCACTCCCGGGGCGCACCAGAAGAATATGGCTTTCCGGCCAGCACAGCACCGCAGAAGCCTGCTGGCGGACCGTTGCCGCTGGGAAGTGCATATCGTCCCGCATCACCTCAGGTGCCAGCAGGAGCGGCAAATCAGTGCGCTTCGCGATGCCCTCTTGCCCGACAGCTGCGAGCGGCCCTAACCCATATATGTTGGCAGGGAGCACGCGGACCGCATGTGATCGCACAGCCTTACTAGCGCGCGCCCTCTTACCGAGCGGTTCTTCCATGCTTATTCGTGGCCGTGCCGACGGGCAGAATTGCCCTCAGCAGGCCCTATATGCTGCCGCCTCCGTGCAATGCGCGCTGCATTTAGGCCTCAGCATCAGTGGGTGCACAGCATCCGAAGGCACAGTAGGCCCGTCCAGTTCCCTTGCGCAAGAAGCGGGGGGAGTAGGACTGTCGCGGCAAATGCGCGGCTGGGTCAGTGCGCTGATAGGCTAGCTGCATGAGCGCGGCATGGCAACGTGCAATGGTGTTTGTAACTGGGCCTGCCCGTAGTGGCTCATCATGTTGGGACACGCAGCTGCACCCAGTAAGAGCTGCACTGCCACATCAGAGGACTTAGCAATGGCATAGATCAAAGGGGTGCCCAGGCCAAGATTGGGACTCGCTCTCGCTCAAAGCAAAGTGTGCACCGGGCAAACATCATTGCGAATGGCCCAGTGCATCGGCGATGGCGGCGCTCCCCAACAGTAAGTGGAGGAGCTCAGAACGCTTGGAAACGACATAGCCACCTCCAACGCAATGTCATATTTGCGATCCAGTAGTAGTTCTCTGAGCTGCAAGCCCCGTGCCGTCTCCGTGTCCCGGGCAACCTCCGTTGGCAGCGAATGCCGCCGACACACCCCCAAGCCATCCTCTAATGGGAGGACATCCAGGCCCAACAAGGGGAGACGAAGATATTCCTGAAGCTCGTACTGCTGCAGGGGTGGGGAGGCACCGGCTGTCAGGAGGCCCACCAATTCGCCCGACAGGGCACTCCTTACCGGGACCATGACATCATCACAGACCGCTCCTCCCGCCTTGAAGGCACCCAGGGCATACTCCATGTGCCATTGAACCGCAAGATCCCAAGCCGAGATACCTCGCAGGGTGCCCTCTCTGGCCGCTGCCTGAGGGTCCGCGCGGTGAGCCACAAGGTATACCACCGCCTCGTCCAACCGACGAGCCGTAGCTAGCAGCAATGGCTGAAAGCCAGTGGCCGGCATGGGGTCTGCCCGCGCTTGCAGCAATGTCAGTACCCATTCACCGCGACCCGAATAGATCGCGTAGATAAGCGGCACATGCCCTCCAGAGTCCGGGCGGTTGACACCAGCCCTTGCCGCCAAGAGCAGAAGTGAAAGGTCATGGTCCTGCAGCATGGCCTGTGAAATCAGCGGTGCACTCCAGGTGGGTGGCCGGTCACGGAGGGGCAGCATGCGATTAACCGCATACCCTCGCGCAAGGAGCAAGACGATTCCCTGCCAATGCCGTTCACACAAAGCAATGACAGCCTGATCCCAGACCTTGTCGAGCAAGTGCGGTGACAACGGACTGCCTAGGATTGCGTTCAATGCCTCGAGCTCCCCGGCACATGCATGGTGGTAGGCAAGTTGCCCCCAGGCGTCAGCATCTTAGGGCCTTGTGCGCCAACTTATACTCTCACCTGAAGGTAGGCGCCCGCGCTGCCGCTCGGCGCCTGGTCGCCACTAGGAGTGCTCAGCGAGAGCAGTGAGGGAGCTGTAAGCAAAAGCTCACTAATGCGAGCGCCAACCAGATCCCAATTGAGCGCCCATCGGGCAAGCGCCGGGGAGGTGAGCCGCAGAGGTCCGCCCAAGCCGTTACGCCCCGGAGCGCATCAGTGCAAATAGGGACCGCATCTTCATGTACTTCCACGAAGAGACATCCGCCTGGTAGTCCATGGCTCCTGAAATGGGCGGCACGCCACCAGCAACGTCCACCACACAGCGTTGGGGACTACGTAGGGCTACGGGCCGGTCCCCCTAATGCGGTAGCCTCGAATGAAGCACCGCCTAGGCCAGAGCCGAAGAGGGACGATGTGTCACAGTGGCCATACGACATGCAGACGTGAACACAAATCCACTTTTTCCTGACTCCATGGATGCTTCAGACTTGAGCTATATTGGAGACAGTCGGCCCTGTATCCATGCGACTAGCAGGAAAAGTCCAGGCCAGTCCTGCCGCGCAATGAAGCCAGGGGTAACCCGGTAAAAAAGATACACAGCGCGTCCCCTCAACAGACGGCTGGCCCGGAGGAGGTGCCTGAGCGAGCAGGTGCTTGCCGCGCTCGCAGACGCCACAAACCAGTCGGCCTTGTCATCAGAGAAGGAGCCGAGGTCAGCCCGCAGGTAGCCCAGTAAGCGCAGGGTACTGCAGTCCGGCAACGTTGGGCTTGCCAGGAGATATTGGGACGCAAGCGACCCGATACGTGCCCAGGTGCACATTGTGGCCAAGATCGTCAGAGACTCAATAGAACCATTAAGGAGCACGCCCGAAAGAATGTCGGGCGGCGTGACGCCGAGAGGTTGCTGAGCTACATGCTCCAAACACAGCAGCAGGCACGCTGGGCTATAGGCCGCTAACTTCTTAGTCACAGAAATATCCCCCCCGTCCGGCCATGGTTCCAGAAGGACTTTCGGCGGCGATGTCCAGCCTGTCGGCTAGACCGCCGCCCCTAGGGTCCGCGCGAACCCCTTCGCCGTGGCCGGCCATTCAGTCAATATGTCGGGCTGTTCCGTGTCGCCACTGCACAAATAAGAGGTGGCTCGACTGCTACTGTGGCCCCCTGGCACCACTGAGGAGGTCCATCGTAGGCCTCGCAGCATGAAGCCACCATCGTCGCCCACCGAGTCTCCGCGCCTTGCGGAATCCATATGGGCCCCTTTCCGGATCAGCGTGCGGGCCATTACCTCATCGCCTCGTCGGAGGGCATGAAGGAGAGGGGGGCATCCTTTGACATCTAGTTGCTCAACATCAGCATTCATGACGAGCATGACGTAAGCCACCGGCAGCCCCTCAGCAATGCACCAGGAGAGGAGGGGAACCTCCCCCCAGTGGCACAGCTGCAAAGTGCGACAGGGACGTAGGCCAGCAGAAAATAACTGTGGCAATAGCTCCGAGTGCTCTCTCAAGATAATCGTTAGCATCTCGTCCCACACCCAGCTACGCAGACAGGGGGCAAGCCGGTGGCCCATCATCATAGCCGCGGCATCAACCTCGCCCTCTAGGAGACATGTCAGGGCCGCTAATCCCCACGCCTCTGGCAGTAGTCCGGGGGTTCCCGCCTCAATCAGCACCTCCTGCGGGTTTCGGATCATGCCTGGGGGTCCAAGACAACCTGACTCGTCGGCAGGTGCTAAGGTCAACGGACCCCGAACCGAAGTCAAGCTTCTTCCCGCGTTCCGAAAAGCGGTCAAAGCTTCGTCAATCCAACACTTTCCATGGACCCCTATCATGGGAACCAAGATCGGCAAGAGCTTGGTCTTAAGCTGCACCTTCCTGGCCCCTTTATGCTGGGAGACTTCGAATGCTAGCAGCGGGTAGTCTGCTCCAGTTGCCCGCCTGGCAGGCGGGCAGTCAACCTCGACCGATTCAACAAACAGGAAATCGCTCGGGCGAGCCCTAGCGTACAGCCTAATCAGCAGCGACGCAAGGAGTGCGCGGTCAAAGCTGTGCAAAGCTCCCGACTCCAACCTCGCGTGCAGCTCAAGAACCTGAGAGACTGTAAGATCTTTCGCCTGGCGAAGCTTGCGCACATTGACAAGCTGCTGTTCAGTGGCACCAGCAATCCTCTTAGAATCAACGATTCCCGACAACCGGAACCCTAGCATGAAGTGAGCACAGCGGCCGAGACAGCCACCAAAACATCCTCATAGCCCGCTTCTCTGCCACTCAATCCTTGAGAGACACACTCATAAAGGGAGCAGCACTCGGAATACCTCAGCACAAGCCTACTCCACATTCCGATCCCTTGCTCCCTCTTTCGCTCTCGCTCTGCGGCGGGATCGCGAGCTGCAGCACCCAACGCAATGGCCCAAGCGAAAATCGAACCTGAAGGAGCCTCCTTGGGTCCTGCTGGATGTCGATGGGTAGCCTGGGCATTACGCGTGATGGGCGGAAAGATCGAGTCCTGCTTTCGGCCTTGCAACGGGTCCCACACGCAATCTGGATCGAAAAGCAGCTTGGAGAACTCACTCTCCCACGGAAGCTTAAGTCCATCGTCGAGTCTGCCGAATCTAGCAACATCTTGCTTGACGAGCCCTCCTACAAAGGAACCCAGTGCATCATCAGCGACACCAGTGGCCGACACAAACTCTCCTGAAGCTGCTAAGCTAATCCCATCTGCAGAGGCATCTGCATGTGCAACCGACATAGCCTGATCAAGATCGGGGATCGAAGGAGCCGCCTGCTCACAGGGCGCAGCCGAGGCCGAAGCTGTCCTCGATTCCACATTCTCGACATGAGAATCGTCGCTTCCGAAAATGTCTGGCATCAGACCTGCCACTTCCCTGTTTGACCGCTCCACAGACTCCAAGTCCATAGGCGTCCGAGCTGTGGCAATTTCGGGTGCATCATCTTCCCAGTCTTCTGGGAACTCAAGCGGAGGGAAGTGCAAGTCGTTCTCAACACACTCACTGCCAAAGCTGACACGACTAAAGCTGCCTTCAGACGATTCGCCAAAGCCTGTGAAAACCTGAGGTAAGGGCACATCGCCTGCGAGGTCGCTGACCCCTAAAGGCGGCGAAGGCGGAGCATGTTATTTTCAAAAATGGTCCAAGGCGGCCCACACGAGGGCCTTCGTCCGGGCTCAAGAGAATCCACTATCTCGGAGAGAGAGTGTGTGGTTTTCAAGGTTGTTAAGAAGAAGCCGGCTGCGAAGCCGAAGAATGTAACCAAGGCAGCACCTCGTGCTCCTGATCAGCTCGAGGCACCACTCCGAGAGTCAGGGCGAAACAGGGCCCAGATGGTCAGGCACATGCTCCAGTGCCATTGCACAGAGTCCGTCTCACCACGGCGGCAAAGCCGCCCCGTTGCTATATCACGGCGTGCAAGTGTGGGCTGGCCCCGGGCCCGGGTTGCAAGCAATCGCTGATCGTTGAGTTCCTGGAACGTCACTTCGGTGACTACAAGCTGCGGGCCAGTCGGGCTCAGGCTCGTATCGTTAATGAGCAGCTTAGTTTTGAAACGGCTCGCAGTCTGAAACTGCAGCTGGGGACTAAATGTTCGATCATCTCGGGCATCACTTTTCGAAGCAGCTGTACGCGTATAGCTGCGGGGTTTGTGTGACTACAGGTGGCTATCACGTGCACGTGCGATCACGACAGGGGGAAAATATGCTAGTCGTGCAAGTCGTGTAAATATAACAACCCTTAAACCCTTAACACCATTCTTCCTTTAAATCTGCGGCCCAGGTTTTGCGGATGCGGGAACCGATGGCAGCGCCCAGAGGGCTGTTGCACTCGAACATACAATTCTAATGCATGGCTTAAGTAGGGATCGATTCATGTACTAATTAACCCTAAACCCTAAACCCCTAAACCCTAAACCCCTGTAAAATCCTCCTCCCTGTGGCCCAGGTCTGCAGCATCGAGCTCTTCGTGCAGCTTCCAGTGTTTTGCGGTATTGTGCTCCTTAAATTGAAGTCTGCGCATGTACAGCTGCGTGTGAACAGGAGCGCATAACTTTGGATTCTTGTGTCGACTTCGTTCATGCATGTCCTGTAGCAGGAGCCTTCGCTAGCGTGCCAGCCTTTAGATCGCATGCACGTTGGTTGCCGCAGGCTCATATATGCGGGGATTTCATCGGCATCGGCGCAGATCTGCACTGCGGAAGGAGACCATGATGTTGAGCATGGCCAGCACTTTCCATGCAGCGATTGCTATGCCATGCATAGGGATCACGACACATATGCATGGGGCAGCCCCTGCAAAATCTTGCCGCCAATTGTAGTGCAGCTTTCGGGCTTTCGCTGCTCGAGTGTATTCTCAATCACGATCACACTCCCCACCCATAGCATGGGAAACGATCTCGGAAAGGTGCTCCAAGAGCTGCCAATGTGGCAAATGGGGTGGATGGTGGCCAGTCCTCGACTCCGAACCCGAACCCGTGGGCTCCGGGCAATCCGAACCAGTGGCAGGCCAATCCAGGAGCACAACAGCTACCTCAGGGCCCGGCAGGAGGGCAGAGCTCCGCATGGCAGAACCAAGGTTGGCAGAATTGGGGTGACAACTCCGGAGGCCACAAGAAGGGCTGGCAGAATTGGGGCAATGACGGAGGCCAGAATAGGGACGAAGGCTCCGGAGGCCACAACAAAGGCGATGGCCCCGGGCAGCATGGCGATGCCTCCAAAAGCGAGAATAATTTCGTGCGTGTTTGCTCCAAGTGCAAGAAGCCTGCCTACCTCCGTGAAGGGATGTGCCTCAACGAGGAGTGTGCAGCTTGGCCAGGTGCAGTTTGCACCTGAAGCAATATACACCAAGTCCTAGCTTTCAAAACCTAGACCCTAAACCCCTAAACACGCCCTACACCCCTAAACCCTAAACCCCGAAACCCCAAACCCGAAACTTAGCTGAACCCTCCAGGTGCAGGAGCACTTATGTCTAGCGAAGTACATATATACATATATATATATACATACACATATACATACACATATACATATACATATACATATACATCTTTCTTTCATACGCTGCAGAAGAGATCCGCTTTGCGAGGCTGTTATGACAGGGAGCCACCCCGGCTACTGTGAGCCATGTGCTTTGCACACGTCGGTGAAAACGTGCTAGCAGCCAGAGCGATGGCATAGGACCTGCCACGAATGGCCCATGAATGTCCTAGACATGCTCAGGCTGCACGGTGCGGCAGTAGAAGGAAAGATAGCCCGTCGTCAAAGCTTGCATGGAGAGCTCAGAATGGACTGTCGGCTCTTTTGCATCGTCGCATTGCCAGTGAACGGGCTCTGAGTCCGGAGGGTAAGTGCAAAGGAGTGCACGGTAATGACCGGAGGCAGCATCAGGACCCTCATGCATAATGATCGCAATCAGCTGGTATTCGCAATGGCGCACACACAGGGCAGCATCTTCCGGGATAGGGTGGTACTGAAAACAGGGTATCAGAATGCGAGGATCCGGCAATACACTGGTGACGTCCTTTGCACCGGCAGCCGAAGGGCTAAACCGGTTAACCTGCAAAACCAAAAGGCCCGGCTGACTATCCATGGCGGTGAGTCCAGCAGCAGCTTGATCCTTCCAGGCATGGATGAGCCGCTGGATTGTGATCCGTCCACTAGCTCCAGCATCACACTGAGAAGGAGGCTTAGCCAGTAGCACAGGCCATGCGTCCCCACAGTCGCGCACCTGACAGCGAGGGGTATTGCAATCGGTAAGAAGTAGCCGATTTTGCCACCTGCCCATGAGCAGATCCGGAATGACAAACCTGCGGCAAAAGGCAAGGTATTCCGCAACGTCATGCTGGGAGTGAGGTCGAGCCCAGCGAGAGTGCAAGAGCGACCATTGGAGAACTGACCAGAGGTCCGGGACAGGCGCCTGCGTAGTCATTCGCCGCACGACTGATCACCTGAGGACGAGCCGCGTCAGAACACAGCAGCTGATTGGCCCAGTGAAGACAGCACATCACCGAGTTGGCGTAACAATGGTTGGAAGCATTGACAACTCGGAGCAGCTGGGGTGATTGAAAGAACAGTCTGTCTGAGTGTAGGACCCCTGCAAACGGCGAGCGAGCTCGGTTGCCAGGGCTGAGCGTCCCATTTTCTCCGGACGCAGAGATCCGCCCACCAACTGCCAGATCGCCGAATTGGCCAGCGATCGGAGGCTCAGATAGAGCTCGGCTGCTTCCGGCGACCTGTGACCCACCTGGAGCAAGAAGGGCACGGTTGGACCCTGAAGGGGGCCGTTGAGGCGCTGAGTGGAGTGGAATCGCATGATGGCCAGAGGGCAGAGGCATTGCTTCTCCGGGATCGGCCGTTGATCCTGTCGAGGTGCCAGAGATTTGGTGTCCGGGTTGTAGCTCAGGAAGGGAATGCGTAGCTCCGTGTCGCCCTCCTTGGGAAGAAACACCTGAAGGGTAATAGCAGTCTTCAGTTGCTCGTCGTTCTTCACGGTGTCCTTGATGCGCTTCACCAGGGTCTCCATCACTGTGTGGAAGAGAAAGGATCGTAGAGAAAGGGCAATCTCGTCCATTTTCTCCTGCTTCTGCTCTTTCAGAGCATTCCAATGCTGAGACTTCTGCACGAAGAGAGGAACCAGGGAGAGAGCACTCTCTCTCTTGAAGAACATGACAAAACCGTTCTGAGTCCTGTCGATTCCCATCTGATCCTCGTGGCGCAAGAGGAGTTTGCCCAGCAGCCACATCATGCCATCCGGGGCCTTGGAGTCCGACTCCGTCGATCGGCGGAAAGGCTGTCGACGAGGCCCATTGTTCTTCGACGGCTGGCCCGACTGATTGCCTTTGCCCCTCCCGCCTCGTCCGAAACCACCCTTGGATTCCCGTCTGGCCCGCTTCGCATCGCGCTCCTTCTCCTGGTCTTCCGCATCCTCCATTTCGTGACGCTTGTTCGCAGCTCGGCCTGAGCCTCCCGTTGCTGACGCTGAATCTCCTGTAGAGAGAGGCCGCTGCCCAAAGCCTGAGAGGAGGCCAAGCTCATGGCGGACGAGGATGCGCAAGGTGATGGTCTGTTGCAAAACAGGGCAAGCGGCAACGTGCTGAGTTTTGAAGGACACCGTAAGTCTGCACCAGCTACAGGGAGAGCGGGCAGCAGCTGTACGTGCTGTGAGCCAGTCAGCTGGCATGGACTCGTGAAGTGCAGAGAGCGGGTGCTGACGCTTCAGATGCCGAAAGATGTCCTGTGTCCGAGTGAACCATTGGTGACAAACAGGGCAGTGTATACATATACATATACATATACATATACATACACATACACATACTTTTTGACTTTGAGTGCGCAGCCGGTCGAGCCTGGCCTAGCGACGAGTCTGGAGACAGGCGTGTAATCGCCCGGCCTATGGCGTGCCTTGTTTTGGCACTCTCGGAACGAGCTAACTAAAGAGCGACACCCTGCGCCGAAGCGCCCGAGGATGTACATGAGACATCCAATGGATATAACAGAACCATTGATCAGGGACTTTGCAATCTGTAGAAGAGGACATATCCTTCCAATTGTAGTAAGGGTGTTCTCGCACTCAAGGTGTCCGGCGAGGCACAAACTCCATCATCAGTGAGGCAGGTATACAGGCTTTGTGGAAGCGCTCCCACAGGATCAGATGATGTCGCTCTTGTGACACTGTCTTCGGCAACAAGCAGGGCCCGGTAATGACCTTGCGTGGCCTGAGCACCCCTATGCAAGCAAACCGCCTCCAGACAATAGGCAACAGCGATGGTGTCAAGCTCAGGACCACTAAACATTGGAATATGGATGATTCGCTGATAGTCAATCGGTGTGCAGTCTTTGGAGGATTCTGCGAATCTGGCGATTTGTACAACAGCAAGCCTTGGCAAAGGCTCATTGAGGGCCTGCACGTGGCCCCGAGTGGACCACAAGTTGATCAGCCCTTGCACATCAGTGCTTGCAGAAGTAAGCGGCAGGCGAAGCACAGCGGAACTCTCGGTGGAAAGAATGTCAATACCTTGATCGGTCTGCACACGGGCCTGAGACTGCAGCATGATATTGGTGATACCAAGGGCCGACACCAAAAATTGTGCGAACTCGGCCACATCATGCTGCCTGTGAGGCTCCTGCCAGTCACGAGTAAAACGCAACCAGTCTGGTAACTCCAAGAGACAGGTGCTATTGCGGACCTGAAGCAACGACTGAATGAACACTCTGGCATCTGGCGTAACCTGTGCAGCAGGATGATCAATGGGCCAGCTGCTCCACAGCCATGCAAGAAGAAAAGAGTGTGCATAACACAGGTTAGACGGGTTATGCAGCCTCAGCGAGAGGACAGCTTGGCGATCTGCAGCTGTACGTGATTGGCCAATGCAGACCTCTGCAGCTTGTCCGGCCGGATATTGAACGATGCCACTTGGGTGATGGCACACTGGCTGAGGGATTTCAGAATGGTGTACGCTTCTTGAGCTTCCGCAGCCCGGAGTCCTATGTCCATGACAAATGCGATCACCGGCGCCTCTGAAGTCTCGGTGAGAGGACGAAGGGAGTGCAGGCGATGCAACACATTCGGAGTGGGAAGCAGTTCCTCCAGCCTCCGCAAGTCCTTCAGAATCAGGGAGTGTGCGATAGGGTCCTTGCTGGCATCGACCTTGTGGGATTTGGACTCGGAATCCCAGGCAGATAGTTCCAGTTGCCGTCCTCTGTGATCCAGAGACTCTGAACCATCTCCTCCCGGGACTTGGCCATTCCTTCTTCCGCTTTCCGGATCACCTCCCCGATCATGAAGAGTCCCATAGTCACCCTCAATGACATGTTGACCAGCTGCTTCTCCTTCTTTTCTCGCCAGACTTTGGCTAGTTAGTTTCCACAGCTTGCTCGGAAGGGCTTGATCGTGATTGGAGCAGAAGAGCACGAATCGAGTGTCCAGAGCCTGCAATGCCAGTGCGTCCTCGTGGCGAAGAATGAGTCTGCAAAGGCTGGCCACCACCTGTTGTAGGAAGAGTAGCTCGGACTTGCGGTGATCGGCCCGATTTCCCTGTCCTTCCGAACCACGCTGATATTTTCCCTTGGGGTTGCCCTTCCCCTTTCCCAGACCTTGCTGCTTGTTGGTGCGCTCCGCTTCCTCTGGCTTCCCCTCCGACCGCGGTCTCTTGGCACTGCCGGCGAACTGCTCCAGCTCCATCTCTTGCACTGATTCCTCCGGTTGAAGGAGCCCGCAGTACATCTTCATCTCGTCCTGGGGACTCATCATGGGAGCCTCCAGCGAATTCGAGCCTGGGGCGGCCAGGAGAGGAGACGGCGCAAACGTCATGAAGCGGTGGTTCCTTTGCAGTCGGCCTGTGCGGGAACAAGATACTCTCAAGAAGCATACAGCAGCAAGGGATGAGGCAATGACGTAGATGAGCATCGCGCCTGGTGAACGGCTTCCCACACCAGACACAGGGGTTCGGGGTGGAAAAGGATCGTACCCGAGCTTCGCACTGCGTGAGAAGTGAAGCATGTTGAGGATGCTTGGCACGTATGTGTGATTTAATATAACCTGGTCGGAGGACGTACTTGTGGCAAATCGGACAGTGATGCTCAAGCGACTGCACAACCGAGGGATGTCGGAGGATGGAGTACCAGGGACCCTGCTCAAGCTTTTGTCTGATGTCGGGTCTCTGTATCAGCGGCAAATGGTCCGATTGCTCCGGCGGGATCACATGAAAATTGTCTCCGTGGAGGGCCGCATGAGCTCTGAGGCCAACGCATTGTTTGTAGGCAACATGCAGGTTGAACTCTGGCCAGCCCCAGAATTCATGATGACAGAAAAAGCACTTCGGCATGCCCCCACGACTAAGAGCAACACAGTCTTTGGTCAGGTGTTGATGCCAATCACCCCGGAGACTAATCTTATGTGCCTTAGCCAGGTGCTTGTGCATGTGTGTGATGTCTGCAAACTCCTGACCACATTCCGGACACGCATGAGTTTCAAGAGCAATGTTGGTGATCTCAACCAGCCTGGCTGATCCACTTTCAACAACAGTACCAGACTGCTCAGCCGTAGCGTTTTGCCAGCTGAGAATAGTGCTGCGACACAGTTGGTGCCACTCTCCCACACGGGGTGGTTGCAGGTCCGAATGCAAAGCAGCTTGTTCGCAGCATCTCTCGGCTTCTTTCAGAAGGGCCGTGTGCAAAGGTTCAACCTCAAGCCGAATGAGAAGGTCGCTGGTCCTTTCTCTAGTGTGAAAACTGTGGCTCCGGCTGACCGACCGCAGTTGTTTAGAGACCAATCCGTACAAATCCTTAAGGATGTCATCAGTGACTCCAGTGGCAGCTAACCCGTACAACAAAACCGGTTGCACAAGGGATTTCCACAGCTGAACACGTGTGGAAAGAGTGAGCGCCCGGCGATCACGAAGAATGTTTCCTAACCGAGTGAACGTCTGAACGGCCTTCGTCCTGCGGGATTGATATGTCAGCATCTCAAAATTTCGGAATGAAATGATAGCACCTAGATAGGGGTGCGAGGAGCGCAAAGGCAGTTTCCACCTACCCGCGCAGACCCCTTTACCAGTCGGCAGTTTGCACAGCACCGATTTAAGAGCTTGGGATGCCTTCGGGCCACGAAGTTCCAGCAAAATGACAGATTTGTCTGGGCTGACCTCGAGCTCATGTTCAAGAAGCGTGTCAAGTACACAGGCAGCCTCCCTTAGACCACGTCTGAGTGCGGCAAAGGAGCGTATTTCCCAAGTCCCCAGGGTGTCATCCGCATAAAGGGTGAAGGATTCCCGCACGAACTGAGAGGAGGTTCGAAGCTGAATACGGTGTATCAAGTATCCGGAGGTGATCGCCCATAGCTGGGGGGCGAGCGGACATCCCTGCCTGATGCCGCGCCCTGCAATAGCCTCAGAGTCAAAACCAGGAACCTGAAACCTGATTTGGGAATGGAAGGAGAGGATAAGTTCTGCAAGGCCTGTTGGGACATTGGCATGGAGCAAAGCCTCCTTCAACACCCAAAAGGGGATGGAGTCAAAAGCACGTGAGAGATCAACACTCAAAGCCAGGCCACCCGCCAATTCAAGTCTGTGCTTGCCAGCGCGAGCAGTGTGCACGTTGGCCTTTTGAGACTGGAGAATCTGTCGGATGACAGAACAGTGCGACATGGCCTTTCCGAGTGAGTCGGATGTAGACCTCCCCTCTAAATAAGAGAATTGCGGAAGATCTTGGAGGTACGCGTTGGAATACGGTTTGAGGCGTTGAGCAAGAATCACCCCGAAAGCTTTCGACACAGGATCCAGCAAGCTAATTGGTCTCAGGGCCTTGGGGTGAGATGGCAGTTTCGGAGGTTTGGGTAGAAGAGCGAGGTATGCAATCACCCATGCATCGCAGAAGAAGAGCGGTCCCTCTTGAAACTGAGCCTGCGGAGCAATCGTGTCGGCCAGTAGATCGGCACATTCCTTCCAAAGAAGGGCAGGAGCATAGTGCTGTGGAACGGCTTTGCGTGCCGCTGTCTGGGAGAGCGCACTCATCCATTCGGACCATGAAACATCAACTCCCTCAGTGAGCACTCCAGGTGGTGGAGCACGATCAGGACTGTTGTAGAGCTGTCTAAAGAAGTCACGATAGGCCTGGCCTGTCGCCAGTTCACTCAGAAGTTGACCCGCCTCGTCCTTCAGTTGCACACGTGTTTTCTTAGTACGAGGAGCAAACCTCTTGGTCGCCTTGAAGACTCGAGACATCAGGTTGCCAAAGCCTGGCCGATTGATTTCCTCCAGGAAGGCAGCAAATGCATTCCTCTTGCGCTCTTTGGCAGCTTTGGCAAGGGCTTTCTGAAGCGAGGCTAGACGTCTCACCTGCACCCACCGCTGGAAAAGTAGGGAAAGCGTAGGTCTCACCTGACGATGAGTGTGCAGTGTTCGTTTAATTTGCCACATAGTTCGTACAGTATCACGCTCAGCTGCCGGACGAACTGATCTGTTGGTTGGAGAGTTGACCGGAGCACACAGCTGCCAAGATTGCAGGAGGACCTGATTCAGTTGTGTCAAATCAGTATTAGTCTGAAGCTGGAGACTGACCTGGTGCCTAAAAGTGGTTCGCAGCTTGGGGTCCGTGGCAAGGGCCGTGTGCACCTGTTGCATAGTCGGCGCGGTGGGTCCTTTATGAACCGTCCGAGGAGGTTTCGGAAACGGAAGGCTGCCACCAATTGGAACATGATACATGCCCTGGGACGGGAGCAGTGCACATTCGTGCATCGGTTTGGCCTGTTTGCACAGGGGGTCAACGGAGGCACGACGGGTAAACACATGATCAATCAGTGATCCATGCTTGTTGTCAGGGGAGAGACAGAACGTCCTGCTAGGATTGTGAAGCCCCCTGATGACCTAACTCCTATGTTTCTATGAAATAATATTATTCCGAAACATTTGCAAAAACAATGGGTTCCGAAATGCGAAAACAATGGGTCCAGAAATGGGTCCGGAAATGGGTTTGGAATGGGTCCGGAAATGGGTCCGGAAATGGGTCCGGAAATGGGTCCGGCAGATTTCCGGACCCATTTTCGGACCCATTTTTCTGCATTATTTCCGGACCCATTTTTGGACCCATTATTGGACCCGTTTTTGGACCCATTTTTGGACCCTGGAATGATTTGCAGACCCATTTTCCCGACGCCTGGAACCCATTTTTGGGGGGCCCTTTCGCATTTTGGAACCCATTGGTTTTGCATTTTTGTTTGCAAAATATTATTTCCGCAAATCATAGAGTTAGGTCTAAGGGGCTTCACAATGCTAGGAGGTCCGTGTCGACCCCAAGTATTAAGCGAAACCAGGTCAAAGTCGTCCAGGATTTGTGCATGTGCCTCCCAATCTGTTTGTACCGGAGTCAACGAAGAAGTTGGCACACCGGAACCGATGCGGCCTAGCTGTGGCGGCAGTGAGGTGTTCAGATCCCCAAGTACCAGCAATCCGTTCCTGAGGGGACACGAACGCAGCAGCTTGTTGAGCGATTGCAGAAATGTCTCCCTTCTGGCCAACAGAGAGGCCCTGGCGTCCTTCGATTGTTTGTCTTCCTTTTTGTAATACCAGGTATGCTGATAGAGTGCAATCACATCCGTATGTGGTTCGCCCGGAAGGCGAATGTGCAGTAATCTGCCAGGAACACGCACATCAAACCGAATTTGCCGTGGGGAAGCAATAGAGTCAGGGATGATAGCGAGAATGCCCCCTGAACGCACTGCCTGTGAGCCTGTGTGTATGAAGGAGAGACCGCCTGAGGGACACGCCTCATGCCATTCAAGATCGTCACGCCAAAAAGTTTCGATCAAGATAAGAATAATGGGTGGTCTGTGGGCCAAGGCAGCGCAGCAGCCGCGGAAAAGCCCGTGTCTTCCACGGCAAGGGTTCGTGGAACTGGGCCTCCTCGCAGCAAGCAGTCCACCACCAGGCGGACTCCAGGCAAGAAGCGAGTTTCGGGCCAGGCTAGCAAGAAGCCCAAAGACAGTACTCGCAACAGGGGCACAAGGAGGTCGGATGAGTCCTCTTCCAGACCGGATGTGCACGATCCGTCCTTTCAACGTGATCCTTCGATACGGCCTCGATCCAGGAGCAAGTGGTTCGCAGACCCGGACCCCTCGGGTCGTTCCCTCACCTCCATGTGTGAGCCGAAGGCTGCACTGCATGACCCGAAGGGGCTGCTGTGAATGAGACTCCAGTACCCGCCTCCGGTGCGCGTCCGATGTACATTGTTTGCATGCGCGTGTGTCACCGTCGGTGCTGGGGCTTACATCTTAGAGTCCGACGTATTCGTAGCTCCCCTGCTGGGCTAAGGTGCTTTCGACGACCAAGAAGCCGACACAGCCGGCGTAGGCCGCCATGGAGCATCCTGTCACTAGGAAATCCTCTCACTTGGTGGCCCAGGGCTCTGCATAGGGCTGCTCTGCTGGCACTTCTGGTTCAGGACCCGGTGTTTCTGGCCAAGAGTCTGGCTCCTTTATTGGGAGGTGCTGGGCTGAGTGGATCTTCTGTTGACTCTGTTGACAGGCAGCACCCAACCTGCTCCACCCAACCACTCCCTGGGAGACGTATTCGCATATTCTCTTTCAACATTATTCCGCCATTGTCTAGTGTCGCTGCGTCCGGTCCCAAATCCGGACGGTGTGGTCGATCAGTTCTGGTCAGACGCAGCACATTCTCTTGGTTGTTATGGTGCATTGTCGTCCAACCTTCACAATCGGTGACCACATTTGAGCCGAGGGTTGGCACCTCTGCCACCCGGCGGGTGCCTGAAGCTCCCTCGATTATCGCTCCCCCTTCAGTCGGAGCAAAGCACGGGATATTAACTCCCAACACACATTCTGACTATTCTCGGAAACGAGCTTTCATACGTGCACAACGACGAGCATCCATTCGGGGCTTCACACAATATAGAGGACGAACATACACAGCTGAGCAACTTCAGGCTCAACATTTAGCTCATACAGCTAATCGCTCGACTCGCTCAATCCGGCCTCCGATGCACTCCCATCGATTGCAGTATGTTGTATGGAATTGTGGGGGTTTTACAGCCACTCGTTATGCAGAGATTCGTCAGTGGTTAGCCGACAGCATCTCCAGCATCATCCTGGACTTCCGACTGAGGATGTGGAGTGGTAGCGGAGACAGTGGAGTCGAGCCTCTTTGCAGTAGGTAGAGGTTCCAGTGTGACAGGCGCGACACCAAGCCTGGTACTCGGCCAGGCACCGGGATTGGGGTCAGCCTTCGAAGAGTCATGGCAAGGCCTGATGTCTGTGCCAGCTCAGCTTGATTGCTTTTAACCTGTTCCGCAGCCATCGGGGATCGTCCACCCATAGAGGAGTCAGGCTGACCCGACGGCAGCTGAGGCTCGGAACTCGGCGGAGCCGGTCTTTTCTTCGGCACCTTCTTTGGGAGCTGATAAACCATACCAGCCGATGTGAAGCCCTCACCAGCTGGCTCCATCTTGTCACTGGACAGTCTGCGACGCGGCAAAGGAGCCCTTCCCCACGGATCTGCCTGAGTTGTCGGAGGCATGGAAGGAGTCTCAGCTGGGGCAGCATTGGTGGTATCAGGGTCGGCAGGCGGTGCCGATGATCGCTCAGGATCCTGAGCTGTTGTGGCCAGCTTCGGTGGGAGCGGCCTCACAGAACGCAGAACAAGGTCGCCCACCGTCACTTCACTCGGAAATTCTCCCAGCTCATCGGAGAATGTAGAGAGTGATGAGCGACTCTCATCGTCACTGATAATAGTAGTCGTCTGCTTCTGTCTGCTGATGCCAGAGGGCATTGCCGTGTCAGATCGGGAGCGGGTCAACTTCTTGCTGGACTCCACCGCGGCTGCAGCTCCATGGCCAGATGAGGAGGGCTCTTCCCCGCGAGCCGCCTTCATGATCTGAGCACATCCAAGAGCGGAGAAAGACGTGGAAGCATTCGCATCCACAGGGGCTCCATCTACCCCTTCCTTGGCCTTATCAGAGTCGGCCAAAATCTCTCGAAGGAGAGGCCTCAAGTAGACTGTGTTTGGAGGCCTGGCTCCTTTCCAGGCCACATACCGGAGAGATTGGTTCTCTGCCTGCGTAAGTCTCATCCCATCATGTGTCGGTTTAAGGAAGGGATTGTAGAAATACTCCGCTCGGCTGGGAAGTATCGGCCTGGTGGGGGTTGGTGCCTCACCGTCGGCGGCCTGATCCGAATCCGCTGGCCGGGAGTCGAACGACAGTGAGGGCTCCGGTGTCATCGACCTTGAGGGCTGCTCTGTAAATAGCCTGTTGAGCTGACCGGGTCTGTGCTTCTGGCGGGCTCGACGCTTGGCTTGTCTGTCCATAAAGACAGGCCGGGACCGCCTCACTGAGTGCCAGGGTGCCGGTCCGGGCGTCGGTCCGGGCCGGGACTGGCTCACATGTGGTGATGCACCCCATATAGGATCACGGGGGAAAAGATCTGAACTGAGGAGTATTGAGCCCGAGGCGGAAAACCAGTAGTGTGCTCCACGTGCACAAGGGCAGTCAAAGACGATGCGAACAGAGGAGGCGCAACTGTGGAGCATACCCTGTGTAGGCAAGGCTGGGTCGCTGACTGCAGGATGGTATCCAAGAGAGCACGACGGCAGAGGAGTCCAGCAAGTAGCTTCTGGGCCTGAGCAAGCATGGCAGCCATGCTGCCTGGTGAGAGCATAGAACACAACAGACCTGCTCGTGGCTAGCAGTGTTCGCTGCGGCACGGCAGCTACCTGCCAGATCAAAGGAGAAGACCGTGGTGGGCGAGTACTGTAGGATTCCCTGTGCAGCATGGCCTGTTTTCAACTCGCGACACCCAGCTGAGATCCGATTGTGTCGGCCACTCGTTCTGTCTAAGGTAGGGCTGTTGCAAGTGCCACTGACAGATTAAAAACCCTCCTGACTGTACCTGCCCGGGCTCACGTTGGTCGGCTGTACGGGTGAAGGCGCACCAGAATCTCCAGCGCGATAGTGGATTCTCCAGCCTCTGCTTGGGATAAGTCCACTGGCACCTCCAGGGTAACACGTGGTTGTCCATCAGACCCCGTGAGAACCTCGGCCGGGCTGTCGTGGGGGGCACTTCCCAGAACATGGATTGCAGGAGGTCGGGGCTCCGGCTTCGGGATCGTGGTCTTCCCTCACGGGCCCTTTGTGTTGGCCGGCGTGCGAGGTGCCTCCGTGGTGGGCCCCGCTGCCGGAGCAGAATTCGTAGTGCCCGGACGGTTGGAGCCTGAGGTCTCCAAGAGCTGCATGATAGGTGCCTGGTCGTCACGGCTGGAGGATGTAAGCGGAGATTCTGCCATGGCACACTGGTTCGATCCTGCTCTGGTGTCAGAGATGGTTCGGTGGGCCCTGATACCTCGACCTGGGTTGCACTGTAAGCCCGTGCTGGGTGAGGCGAGAGAGAGGTCCATGATTCCACTAGGGCAGCTCGCAACCTAAATACCCCAAGCTCGGCCACTGTACACCTGCGTAGCAAGCTAGGCTGGGGTAGCTGTGATAAACCTGAACAGGCACCCACCCCACCAATGCATCACCAGCCCAGCTGGGGGCACGCAATGAAGCTGATACACAGGACTCATACTGAGGGCAATGTTGGGCTGAGTTCGGAGCGTGCCAGAGTCGTGTGATGACCTGGGCAGAGCAAGGGGTAAGCGAACGAACCATGAGCCAACAGAGGCAGCAGTCGGAGTGATGAGGCGGAAGTCGCCGCAAGTTTTTGTGATCAGGTAGCAGGCCCGGGTCTGACGACAGAATCAAAAGCCACTGTTGGGAACTGGCCCGGCTATTGGATCCCTCACGATGTATATATTGCAGGCCCCAAGGTAGAAAAGGTGAAGCTATGCATTTCGCTGGTCTCACGATGGCTGATGCAAGAAGATCTATAGCCTGGCAACAGGTGGCACTGCAACTACGTCGCCAAGTCCGGTCTCGGCTCATTGAAGGCGCACAACATACCGGACACCGATCGGTGGAATCGGCACCCTAACCACCGGTTCACTGGTAGAGCTCGGCAGAGGGGGTCGTGGTCCTGTAGGGCCATGGCCTGTTGTGCCCTTGTGCTTGCATTGGGTCCACCAGGGCCGAAAATTCCGAGCCGAGCAGTCGGATTCGTTGTGAACCCTGCTGGAAGGCCCGGGCAGGTGGCCGGTGTGCCCCGCCTCCGTCGGGCGTATAGTCTGACTGGAACCGGACGAGGAGGTCCACGAGGTGGTTCGCTAGGTCCTGCCACTGGGTCCTGGACTATTGGATGCTCGCGGGCCCAGTGCATCCGTCTCGGTGGAGCTCGTAGGTGAGAATCCATCGCTGGAAGACTCTGGACTGGGTTCTCTTGGCCATCCCAGGTAGCACAGAGAATAAGGTGCACCCTGCTGGGGATACAGTTGCTGAGCCCACGCTGCAACAACAACACGAATGTTGCAACTGCTGCGTTGCCAGAGTGGTGGCAGCTGAACCAGTGTTTGCTGGACCGATGCAGCTGAGACTGGGGCCAGGGAGGAGAAAGAGGCAGATGCACGCCCAGCTGTGTGTACCTGCCGGGACCTCCCACGATGGTGGTGTGCTGGGTAGCACTGAGGCGTGGGCACCAGGCGAGGACTCCTCGAACCTTGGTAGCACCACTGGTGAGATCCATTGGTGGGGCTCACCAAAAGCCGAGCGAGGGACTGCAGGTGAGGCCTCCTCAAACCTGAGCAACATTCTGAGGCAGAGCTCGAAGGAGCTAGGTATAAATACCGAGAAGTATGCCGTAGGCGAGGTCTCCTCCAACCTGGGCAGATACCACAGCCAATAAATGAGCATGCGTGGTAGCGGAGCAGGAACTGACCTGGCTTGGGCTATGCATATCTCGGACTCATCACAGCCCCTGTGTAGAGGAGAAGGGGCACGGTACAGTCCCACACAAAGCAGACAACCAATCTGGGTGCCAGACCCCTGCATCCAACAGTGCAGCCCCGAGTGTCTTGAACAGTCATTGGCAGCAAGGAGGGCAGTGTCGAGTGCAGAGCAATCATTATCAAGAGCACACACGACACCGAAAGTTGGTGATGCTGGCCGTAGCACCAAAAGCGAGGACTTTCGATAAACCGGCCAGTGCACGGAGCAGTCAGGCATTGCATCAACCTGACATACCTTAGTCCATGGTCTCCAGCATAATGACCTTGGCGGACCTGAGCCGGTGCGGCATCCACCCCTATGTTCGTCCCACCTCAGCACCCCTGAGCAAGGCCGCTGCTTTCCAGGTAGGAACAAGCCATCTCGCTGCAATGAAGAGGTTTGCTTCAGGTGCAGCTGGAACATGCTTTTGGCGATAGACGGGATGTGCAGCCTAGGCCATGTACCATTGCATCTAGACAGAGCTGATTGCAGCATCGGACCATGGTCCTGGCCGGACATGTTTGTCGTTACCCTGCTGTCCTGGTCCGCAGGGAGGTCAGGAACAGGCCTAGACGGCTGGACAAGCGAAGCTATCACTGTCGGCACAATAATCAGCATTCCGAACCACAGTCCTGCACGATTGCAAAGGTAAACACCGTGGACTTTATTCGGTCGGCTCGTCTGATAAAAGCTGCCCTGCGCATCCAGCCTCTTCACCATAACCTTTTGCGCACACTCATCCATAGGAGATGCCATGGCCCACACGCAGCCCGCGGCTGAACCCTGAACAAAACAGACACAGGAGCCACCCCGAAGCAAGACAACCCCCAGGGCCCCAAGCCCAAAAACCAGGGGGAGTAACAGACTCTCTTCACGAGTCTGAGTCGCTGCTGAGCCTTACATACACATACACATACACATACACATGACACATACACATACACATACACAGTACACATACACATATACATATACATATACATATACATATACTTTCACTTTCACTTTCCTCGTAGCAGAAGGTCGTCTTTCTGCGAACGAATATGAGGGACAAGCATTATGCTCGGCCGTAGCTGTGCATCGCACATCCCCCTGCAAACACAAGCAGACTCCCGGCACTAATGCCCATATGCAGAGTCAGCGGCTTTCACAGTAGAGAAATAAGTAAGCATCATACAAATGAGAATCAACTTCATTGTCACTACATCTGCGAGCAACAACACCATCATCAGCAATGTGATATGAGCTCTCCCAACAATCATACAAAAGATTGAAGTAATGACCGCTGTCTGGGGAGTTGCCCTTGTGAATGATCACTGAGCAAAGCTGGTACTGCTTCCAATGGATGGTGCCATCCCTATCAAACCCCGGGGCCCGAATATAATGGTCCGGTCTGATCTTGTATCTACGTTTCTGCAGTTTACGACCATCAGCATCGAAATCAAAACGTCCAGCCTGGAACACAAGAGCCGGTGGCCAAAATACCAAAGCATGCACATCTTCTTGATTGTGCCATGCTGTTATCATACTTTGCACAGACTGTTCACTCAATGCCCTGCCGCCTGCCAACTCCTCCGGAAGGATCGTGAGGGGAATTGACTGGCCTTCATCCTGTACTCGCCAGTTGGTACCCTGTGATCTGGCCTGCCAGGGAGTCGCGAGCTTGCTCATTGTATGAGGTAGTCTGTGTAAAGCATGGGCAAGGAACTCCGCCACGTCATGTTGCATGTGCGGATTCCTCCACTTCCCCATTTGTGCACGCCAAAATGGATTATTCCACATGTGGATTGTCCCTTTTGCATGCTTTAGCCCCGTCAAGTACTCAAGCATGGTCCCCTCAAAGATCACCTGTAGTCCCCCGAGGCATTCTGCGAGGTGTAGCATGCTGCGAACCACAGCATTACTGTAGCAGTAGTTGCCTTTGTTGCCAAGCTTCAGTGCAAAGATTTGGCCAGCACCGCCAGTCTTTGAGCTAACGGACTCCTCTGGATCCGCTCTTGACGAAGGTAGGCCCCTGCTGCCACCCAAATCGCAGACTGGGTGAGTTTGCGAAATCTGTGCCATGCCGAGTGAGCCGACTCTGCGCGAAGCCCGATCTCCAGCAGCATCGTGAGCGTGGGTGCCTGATACTGCTCGCTCAGCGGCCTCGTAGCATGGTACCTCGTCACCACCATTGGCTCCTTGATCAGCTGCACAAGTTCCTGCAGCGCTTCCTGTGCCTCGGAGACCGAAAGTGGTGGGACCTGGCTGTCCAGCACATGCCTCCGAGCCTCGTTGTCCCACCCATGATCTGCGTCTCGTCCTCGCTGAGCCACCCAAGGGACACCGCCGTCGACCGCGAGGATGGTGTTTCCAGCATCTTCATCGCCCTTTCCTGCACTGTGACCAGCAGGTGTTGCAACAATGTGGTCCTCATTGGCGCCTCCAACTTCTCTGGCGTCTCGCTCTTGATGGCATGCCACTGCTTGGCCAGCTTGAAGGTGCTCGTCGCCACATTGGCCGGCACATCGGTCTTGAGGAAAATAACAAATCCTGTGTCCAGTCGGTGCAGACAGTGTTGCGATTCGTGGCGAAGGATGAGAGCTGTCAGGATTTTCACGATGTTCTTCAACTCCACATTGTCCAGCTCCTCGTCCTCCTCCGGCTCGTAGTTCCACTCGTCCTGACCCGTCATCTGGTTGCCTTGACTGTTTCGTCCCCAAGAACTCCATGATGCTTTGGCCCGTCCCTGCTTTCTCGGCTTTGGCCCTTTGTTTTGGCCTTTGCCTTTGCCTTTGGGCTGATTCTTGCCGCCCACTCCTTTGTGCTCCGGCTTGTGGAACTTGTTGTGCCGGTCCTCCAGACTGGGTGGCGAGCAAGTCCCGAGCCACATTGGATTCCCCGAGGATGTCGCCGACTCCCGCACCGCCGGTGGAGCAAGTTCCTGTAGTAGGTCGAGTTCCCGGGTGGCTTCGCTCAAGCTGCGCTTGTGTTTTTCGACCTCCATTGCGATCAGGGCAGCCATCGTCTAGGGCCTTGAGTGGTGGGCCTCGGGCAATCCGCAGGTAGAGGTACACTCCCTGGAAGATGCCACCACATGTTTTCAAGTGTGCATCCTTTCTCTGGAAGGTCTGTCCACAGTACTGGCAGGGATTCTGTAGACTAAGCTTGCTAGCAATGATCAACTGCTCCGCTTGGTACACGAGAGGGGCTTGAGACTTGTGTCGAGATAGCATGTGGCGCTTCACATATTGAGAGCGAACATGCCACTGATGACACTCAGGGCAGTGTTGATGTCTGGCTTGCACAAGCGGATGTAGGGCTAGGGATTCCCATGAACACGACCTCGCTTCCTCCAGAATAGTAGCATTCTCAACGATCGCATCGCACAGCTGCACTGCTTGTTCCGGCGGGGCTTCCTGCTCTGCCAGTTGTCTTAGCTTCGTGCAGCTTTGAGTATTCACGTGATAATAGAATGCATGCCACGTGGTGAAAGCATACTCACAGTGACGACATTGAGGCATACCATTTAGCGAGTGGTCCATGACATTAGGCTGCACACTGCGTCGAGGTTCCATCTGTCTCTGCTGTTGTTGTGCCGGTGTGAGATGTGTTCGGAACTCATGCCGTCGGAGTGCTGCTTGCGAAATAAAGCTCTGTCCACACTCATCACACGTGAATCTCTCACTTTGCACCGCACTGACCTCTTGGAGTCTGCACTTAGGTACCGTCTGATGAGTGGGGATGGTCACTTCACTCAGTTGGCTATGCACCAGTTGTCGCCATTGGCTTTGTTCTTCTCCTGGCAGCATGATTGGGGCAGGCTCCCACCATGTGTGTGCCGAAGACCAAGCCTGAAGTCCTGGCTTGTCCCCTTCATAGCGTCTATGGATGGCCTGCAGTAGGCTCGCGATCGGGTTGGTCAGCCGAAGTCGCTTCGCAAAGTCCATGTTGGTTTCATGAGTGAATTGGCTGTGTGATTTCGCGACCGACCTCGCATGCTTGAAGAAGAAGGCCAGCAGTGTAGACGCCGTCGCGGCTGTGAGGCCTGTGCAGTCCAATCCATGTAGCAGGGTGGGCAGGACTGTTCCTTGCCACAGTCTCAGCCTCAATCCTGTAGGGACCGTAGAACATTTTACAATCGATTTGAGTCTACCATGGGTCTGTTTGGCAAGCCGAAGTCTGTGCTCGAACGTCTGCTGTTCAAACTTGCCAAAGCTCACGATCACTCCCAGGTAAATGTGCTGAGTGACAATCTTGATGTATTTGGGCTCCCCTGCAATCATGAACTTAAGACACTGACCTTCGCCATGTGGATTGTCAACTTGATATCTGCGTAGGCAGGCTGCAGCCTGCGGACCATGAAGTTTGAGTATGGCCACCGTTTTGCTCATACTGAGTTCAAGGCCCTTCTGGCAGAGTCCCACCAGGATCTGCTTCATCGCCTGGTACACATTTTCAAGCTCTTTGCCACTGCGAATGATCCAGGCATAGAGGAAATCGTCTGCGTATGTCGTATTACAGTCAGTGATGTCAATCGCTGGTTCCCGATCCAAGGCTCTGAGCACCCATCCCGAATAGATGGCCCAAAGCACTGGTGCCAGTCCACATCCCTGTCTGAGCCCCCTGTGCAATCGCACCTTCTCTTTCAACCCACAATGTTGCACTAACAGCTCCGTCTGCTAATGGATGAGGAGGATCAACTCTACCAATTCTGATGGAACTTGTGCATCCTCCAATGCCCTTCGCAAATCTTCCCAAGGCACTTGATCATAGGCCCGTGAGATATCTATGGACAAAATGGCCCCACCGCAAACTGCTGTGGTCCTACGTCCTTGGCGTCTAGCATGCAGAGAGTGGGTATGGTCAGTGATGAGTTGCCGGGCCTGGGCACATCTGCTCAGCACTCGTTCCACTGCATGTCCCAGCGTTCTGCCTTCCAGGTACGCGAATTGAGGGATGCCCCGAAGGTAGGCCAGCGCGTAGGATTGTAGGCGCGTCGCAACAATGGCACCCAACAGCTTTGCCTCATGGAGAGAAGATTGATGGGCCTTAACTGCGACGGGTCCGTCACGGGCTTCCCTGGCTTGGGGATAAGGATGAGCTCCGAGCAGTTCCAAGGGGCAGGCAGTGTAGTGGCTCCTCGGTGGAGATGCCACCTAAATTGTGCCACCAACACCGGCACAACGTCGGCGCTGACCAATTTCCACAAGGCTGCCGGGGCACAGGCCGATGGCATGGCCTTGGCCGGCTTGATCCTCCGCATGGCCTGCCACACTTCTTCAACACTTATGTTGATGTCCGCCGAGAGTGCTAGTTCTTCACATGGTACAGCCGAATATAGCTTAGTGAAGTACTGGACAATCTGCTGGAGTTCAGCTTCATGGGATTGAAGATGTCCATCCACCGATCTGAGCTGCAGTCGTCGCCGTTGCTGTTTGGGGGCAAACCTCTTGACTGCTTGGTGTATACTGTCCGAGGCCACCGCATCAGCCACCTTGGCAGTCTTTCGTTGCCGGCATTGTTTCCGGAGTTCCCGGTTGACAACCTGGAGACGAGAGGTCAGCTTCCATGCTGTCCACATCTGTCTGAGAGAGGGCTCATCTGTTTGGGCCGTCACCTGATTGTGTAGGTCCCGAAGTTGAGCCCGTAGTTGCCACATGCCTGACACCATGTTTCGAAGTGTTACCCCTGCTCGACTGCCATCTGATTCATGGAGTGTGGTATGTAGTCGTGGGCCTGACTCTTGACGGGCCAGTTCCCAACCTGCAAGTAGCACGTGATCAATGCTCATGTCCTGGTCCAGTGTCCCCATTGAGTGTGCCACCTTCTCCCGGAACATCAAGGAGGTCTGCTGGCTTTGAAGATCTTTTCTGACCTGCATCATGTTGACATGGGGCTTATGTTCTGTGATGGGTCTGGGAACCTTTGGCATTGGCACTGTGGCTCGTACTGGTAGGTGCCGACAGCCGCTTTCCATCACAAATGGTGCCTCAATCGGTGCTGCCCGCTTTGCTATATCATCACAGATCGTGCCTTTCACAATGATATAGTCCACTTGAGTGCCCTGCTCTGTGGAGGTAGCTTTCGGAGGGAGAAAAGTCCGCGACTTCACGCCCCTGCACTGCCATGAGTTGAGGACTGTGCATCTGTGATTCTGGAGCAGGTCCCTGAATTCGCCTTGATCGCGGTGTGGCCCATGTCCCGGGAAGACCCCTGGTCCACAGAATGGTTCATCCGTGGTTGCATACACATTGAGGTCCCCCGCTGCTATCATGGTCCCCCCCCGACAGGGCATGTTGCGAAGCCATTGGTCTACAGCATGCCACACTCTGCGACGCTGTTTCAGCAAGGCCTCATACTTGCCTTCGGCCGGTAGGTCCCCTCGCCCTGGATTCCAAGCCACCTGATAGACACATAGAAGATTGAACGGGACGGTCATTTGGAGCCGTACATGTAGAGCTCGTCCAGGCAAAAGCGAGACATGTCTGATGTGGGTTTGTGGCACCAGACCCTTTCTCACTAAGCACATCACTCCAGTTCGTTCGCCTCCCGCCGAGTGAATCACATGCCATTCCGGTCCTCTCGTAGTGACCGCTTCGGTTGTGTATTCCATATCTTGTTTCCAGTGTGTCTCCTGCATGCTGATGATGTCATGGCCCCTCCCGGCATGATGCTCCGAATCTAGCCATTGTAGAACCTCTCGGTATCTGACGTCGGTCAAGCCTCCACAGTTCCAAGTTAGAACCCGGATACGAGGGGGAGGCCGTTTGTTCTCCAGCACCAGTTTGGTCTGAGTGGCGGGGTGGGAGTCCTTACAGAGTCCCTGCTTGGTCCCCTGGTGTAGTCGAAGCAGTTTGCCCCGATACCACGTCTCCCCTCTGTCATTTTGGGATGCTCTTTGCAATGCTCTGCGAAAAGCTCGCTTGCGAGTGTTTGCTGTGGGGTTGCTTTCGCTTGGGGCCAAGGTGCGTCTTACACCGTGCTTCGCCCAAGTGTTAGCAAAAGTCGACAAATCTGTGGCTCCCGGACTTCTGCGGTGTTCAGGAAGTCCAACCCTCGCTTCTGCAGTAGCTTCGACTCCTATGGGTTGATGTAGTAGGATGTAGGCAACGATAGTCATGTGCACAATCCTTCCAAGTAGTTTCACTCTGCTACTGCCCAGGGACTTGGGACCCTGGCGGCTTCTGAGTCGTACTCGCTCTCGTGGTGCTTCTGGCAGGTCCATCCTGCCATGAGGTTGCTGCCAGATCAGCTGTCGTGACCAGTAGCGGTTTTCCATCTGCTGAGGCCATGGGCTGGCATCTTGTGAGGTTATCGTCCATCGTGGGCCTGAGGTAGACCTGGACTTCATGGGTGTCCTTGTGCATCTCTGGTGGAGACTGTCTGCAAGAGTGCGCCAACAAGCTGAGGACACCCACCACAAACACTGGAGGCTCCAGCAAGTGTACCTGGCCATGGAGGAGATAGGCAAACTTGGCTTTTGTAAGGATGCAAGGTAGTAGCAATGTATCAACCATGTGCATGCGCCGAGCAGGAGATAGGCAACTTGTAGCAGCATGCCGCCCGATCCAGTCACAGCATCAGCCGAGTCATGTCTCCGGCATACTACCCATCTCCTTTTGGAGATATGCTCGTCCCCTTCAGTCATCCAGCTCTGCATGTCGTCGCCTGAGGTCCCAGGAGACGTGGCAGACTTATTGATTGACCAGTTCGACACTTTCTCACCCTCAGTCTGAAGATGAGTCCCGCACTTCCTTCTCGAGGGTGCCGGGATCGAAGGCGAGGCACGGAACTTGTGCGTGGGTCGGAGCCTTGGCGTGGTATCGCCTGTCGTGTGCTCAGTCTCATTGTTCACCAAGTCCTGATCTGCCGTATCCACTGGCACACTTTGGCTCTGGGTCCTGCTCTCCGTCAAGTCGAACTCTTCGGTCTCCTGTGCATCCTCATCCGTGTCGGAATCTAGATATAGTGTGTGCGGATGTTCTTGGGCCGCGGGCCTCTCTCCTAGATGGTTGAGCCCCACACGCCACCTCGAAATATCCTGAAACCGAGCCGGAAGATCAACAAGGATCCTCTTCACATCCACTCCTTCAGACTGCAAAGCATTGGCCACCTTCGAGGCGATGCGCTGTCGAGTCTCCCGCGCCTCAGTCTTGGGTTCATTGATGGGCCTCGGCACAGGTGGCCCTGCCGGGCGATAGCCAGGGGGCGGTTCAGGCGGCAGTGGTGTGCCATTGGGTGTGCACGGCGAGCTGTGCTCGCCATCACCCTCATCAGCTCTCCTTCGAGATCCAGGCATGATACTGCCTGCTGTCGGATGCTGCTCTTGAGCCCTGATGCACACAGTACCATGAGTAAGATGCTTCTGTCGAATGTCCCGGAGACAGTGTGCAGCTGCAAGATGCTCAGACACTCCGGAAGGGCACCTGGTATCCCTGCCGTGTTCGTTTCTGGCTGGTACCTGCACGTGATCTTGGAGTTCACTGCTTTCTCTGTGCATGCCATTGGCCTGGTCAGCTTCGATATAGAGCACCTCCATGCCCTTCCCAAAGGCGACGCCTGCAGACGACCTGGCCAGGATAGCATTGAGAGTCACAAGGCCCACCAAGAGGAAGAGAAACCCCCGCAAAATCGCCCTCAGAGTCACCGACCGCATTGGCAGAGGCGATGTCATTCTGTACCTGGCCACCAGCAGGGTAGGCAAGGATCTGCAGGGTAGTAGACACCGACAAACTGGCAGAAGGCGGAGCTTGGGTCCCTTTTTCATCAGCAAGGCTCTCTGTGACCACATGTGTTCCAGCAGGCTGTACGACCAGAGCAGGTGCTTCTTACACAAGTCAGCACTGCTTGTGGAATCAAGCAGACTATCATCCAAAAGTCGCAGCTACTCAGTTCCAGTACGTTGCCGCCTGGTTTCACAGTGTCGCTCAATCGGTTTGATTGCATGAATCTTGCAACTACCAAGCTGCTGTTTTCTTGCAAATGAGCCCCGGACTTGCGATTGCCACTGGCCTTGCTCTTGGGTTGCATCTTCGACTTCGGTCGTGGCTCTGTGCTCGAAGCCGCCGCATCTGTCTCCTCAGAGCTTGCCACCCTGCCCGACATTCTGCTGGTTCCCGTTCCGCTCGCTGGCTCACCTTCTGTAGTAGGTCCTCCCGTTCCGCTATGAGCCTCCAGCCTCAGCAGGTTAGGATGAAAACTATCCGCTGGAGTGAGCGGCCGGATTTCAATCGTTAGCCCATCCATGGAAGCCAGCTGCCACGGCACCAAAGTCAGTATCTGACAGGGAGTGCACCCCTGTCCTCTGAGGATCTCGGCCACCCCTCTGGAGACACTATGTGCACCGGCAGCGGCGTGGGACGTCCCATGATCGAGGTCGGTGAGATCAAAAGAGGAGTCACCGTGGCACCCAGAGCATCGAAGTGGCTCAGCATCTCTGAGCCAAGAGGAAGCATCCTCTGAGTCCTCCCTGGTTGCCATCTGCCCTTTAGCCGGCCTAGGTTCGGTCAGTCCCGATTCGCCTCCTTGAGCCGTACAGCGTATGCCAAGTCGGGCAATTCGTAGCAGAGCTTGAATGCTACCCTGCAGTAATCCCTTGACCAGGCTTGAACTGATGCATGTGTCCCTGGGGCACATGGTATCGGGTCTGGAGGAGGTTCTCCCAGCTTGCGCCTGCCAAAACACAAGAAGCAGTATACGGTCATGCTTCCACATAGCAGAATGGCACCCACGTGGATAAGGCAGAATCCCAGAGCCTCGGTCATCCAGGCTCGTGGCATTGTCCCTGATCTGTGGAGCTTGTAGGCTCCCACGTACACGGCGCAGGTGTTCATGCCCTAGCCGGTTCCTGAGCCCCTTAGTCCAGGGTGTCCAGGCTTGGATCTTGCCGGAGACAAAGCACAGGAAGCATTGCCCTACCAAACTCCAGATCGAAACCGCTGGCCGCTCGCAACACCTGGACTCTATCGCTGTCCCGAAGCAGCATCCATCCTTCATATAAAATGATATAGGCAGAGGCGGCATTCCACCGCCGATCACAACGCCTGCGAAAAGCCATCTGCAGTCTGTGCGATTGGTTGATCCAAGCTGACAGAAAAATCTGTTGTTCCACAGCTGCTCGCACTGCATTGGCCAGAGGGTCCGCTGTGTATGCAAGCCAGTATGGATGTCGCGGGATCTTACTGCGTCCATGGTGCAGTAACAGCATCTTTTCTTTCTCATGAGGCAGGATTGCCATGGCTGCAAGGAGTGCTTGGCTTGGCCTGTTGGACACCTATCGGGGTCTGAGGGTTTCAGGTTCAGCACACTCGGCTCCCGCAATCCGAAAACCACAAGCAGCCCCAGCACCACAGGACCAACCAGCCCCACAGGCCAGCCGCCCATAAATCCTGGCTCAGCAGCACCTTAGAGATGCCTCTTGAAGCCGAGAAGCTTATATACATATACATATACATATACATATACATATACATATACATACACATACACATACACATACATATATATATATATATAGTATACATATATATATATAAGTACAGAGGTTTTGGTTATTTGTTTCCAAGCTAAGGACCTCAGCATCTGGATCTAGCCCCCGGAGCAGATCGGGAAGCAGATGACGAGTTGGGGAGGACGTGCCACCAAGGGCCAAGAGTTGTCAAAGTGCATCTACAAGGCCAGGACTCGGGGCACAAAGGGTCGCCAGCATGCCAGGTGGTGGAAGCAAAAGACTGCTGCCGAGAAAGAGGTCATCAAGGACAGAAGTGGTACGGGATGAGGCCCGTCTCGGACAGTGCCTTCTCCAACGGATTCGCCAGGTCCCACTCCTCATCTTGCTGAAGTCCCTTGAGGATGTTGTCCAGGATCTTGCACTGCTCTTTGTTGTCCACATCGAGGTTCAAGCGCTTCGCCACATCGAACCTTACATGTGTAGAAAATATAGCTACCACAAATAGTCTTTGCATATATGCACATCTGCATACATGCATACATACGCATATATGTATATATATATATATATATATATATGCATGCATATTTACATAATTACATACATATACCTGCATATATACATACATACATACATACTTATATACATACATGCATACATGCAGACATATATACATACATACATACATACATACATACACACGTATACATGTGAATATGTGTGTGTATATATACATACATATATATTTATGCACCCTGCCCTTTTTGCATATTACACATACATGTAGACACGACATGCACACAAATAGTTCTATGTGTACATGT